TGAGAGGGGGAAGGAAGAGACGTGGAAAAAGGAAAGGGATGAGGGAGGCAGAGAGGGAGGAGGGAAAGGGGCAGGAGTGAGAGACGGAGGAAAATTTGGGGAAGTGAAAACGTAGGATAGGGGGCAGGAGGGGTGGGTGTGTTAATATAATACACTTTGTTAGAATGATATCTGTATTTGAACTGACGGGTGAGGGAGAAAGAAGCGGATTGTATGTGTGTGTTTTGTTTGTTTTTATTTCTCTTTTGTTTTTGTAGTTTTGTTCTGTTTTGTTGGTATGGTTTGAGGTTTTTTATTTTTATTTATTTGGAAAGGGGGGAGGGGGGGAGCAATGGTTAATTTTGGTGTGTGTGTGTGTGTGTGTGTGTGCATGCCCGCCTTCCGAGTCCAGAGAAAGAAGAACAAGAAGAACAACAATCCTTTGTGCAATAAATCATATCTACAGAAAAAAGACAAACAGGCTCAAACGTGTGTCAGATTAAACAGAAGAAAAAGAAACAGATTAAAACAAATCAATGTTCTCACCGGACATGGTCAAATTCGGAGGCCGGCTGTCCATTGACCAGCCACTCCACACTGGGCAGCGGGATGCCGGACACTGGACACTCGAGTTCCACCCGGCGTCCCTCGTTCACTTTACGGTCATACACCACGTTAGACTCGTCAATGGCAGGAGGGACTGGGGAGGGGGTGGGATGAAGGAGACAAGAAAAAAAAAGAATAGATTGTTTGTGAATATAAAGGCCTTTTTGTCTAAGATAATATTTCAATAAAACTTCACAATAGGATCACTGATTAAGTCCTCAAAGGCAGACAACACTAGAAACGTACGGAATGATAGATGGGGGTTTGGGAAGATAAAAGAAAAATGAGATCGATTATGAATTGGATATTAAAAATCCTTTTTAGTTCACATAAACATGTATGAGACTTCACTCGGCTGTCATACAGCACTTCAGACTAATCAGTAGCGGGTGAAATTGGAGGTGGTGGGACTGGGGATTGGGGAAACGGGGAAAGGGTGGGTGGGATAGGGGGAGGAAAAGGAAATTGGATCCTGATCAGGAAAAGTACGTAGTTCAACTACATAAAGTCATACACAATGCTTAAGACACTGGACACTCAAGTTCCACACGGCGTCCTTCGTTCACTTTACGGTCATACACCACGTTAGACTCGTCAATGGCAGGGGGGACTGAGAAATAATGTGGATTTTGAGCGCTTGTTCAATTTCATATAGATCTAATACTTAATATAACACTTGACTTACAACTATAATATTACCATAACACGGTGAACCTGTCAGTAGCAAGTGGCATTAGAGGGGGTGGGTATA